GTGGCTTGTGTACTGCAAACACATACCAGCTTCATCACTGTGTCTGTCACGCGACTCTGTTCCCCTTTCGGGCACTGTCTTTACATTTATTTTGAAAGATGAAGCTCGCGATTATGGTAAGGGGCGTTACATTTCCGACGAGTGCTTGCGGTGTTCGGCCAATCACAATGCACTGGGTCAGCTGGCCAATCAGAGCAGACTGCGCTTGTCGGAAGGAGGGACTTTGTAGAAAACGAAGCGTTTGAGAGAGGCGGGGCATAGAGGACCTACAATAATGTACGGTATTTTAAAAATAATGTGTTTTTTGAACATTAAAGCATGTCAGCATATTCTGTTACACCAAATACACAAAATAATGATCTTTAAAAAAGCATTATATGACCCCTTTAATATGATAAATTTAATATGATTTTTTAATTTTTTTTAATTAAATATTTTTTATCATGGCTTTAGGTCATGTTCTACAATCTTACATTTAGTGGATATTGTATGAACTTTAAACTCTGAATCATTAAATTATTATGTATATATATTTGCGAGTGATATTGGAGCTCTTTATTTAGGAAGGATTTTCCAGCCCATCGGTGTTGCCCATGGACCTACTCACGTCCCCAAGTTCCTTTGGTTTGGGTTTCCTCCATCCTCTGCACGCCAGCTATTTGGTCCAGTCGCCAGGAAACATGCACAAGGTTCAGACCAATGAGAGGCTTTTCTCTTTAAGGGAGTGTCTGTGCAAAAAAACAAAAAACAATCTGAACATTTAATGACTGGTGGTTTTTCCGCTCAGTCATGGTTAGTGAGAGCGCCTGGGTGGCCAGACTGGCTTTCATCACGGGAAGGGTGCAGCGTGTAAGGGGGCAACTGTTCCTCACACCTGATTGTTAGTGATACTGGATGAACTCCAGAACTTGGGTGGCATGTTACTATGCGAGATGAAGTTTCCAGTTATATCTCCTGGGATGTGATGCCCTGAGAGCGATGAAATGGGATCATTCAGAGCATCTATGAGTGTTTAGGTTTGAGCGTTGCAGATTGAGGTACATTAAGCCGGTGTTGAAAACCACGCATGGTGCTGCCCAGTGATCACTGTGTGAAAATTTGCCTCATGAAGAGAGAAAGAAAGACATTGGCACACAGCATTTCTTGTTAAGTAGAGAAGAGTGACAGGTCCATAATCTTAGTTTATTGGTAAGCTGGAGGAACAGACAGTGTTTTTATTCTGGGGTGAGCTGAGAAGTAAAAAGACGTAATGTTCCTTCATGTAAACCCTCCTTACTGTGCAAAACCAAGTGATGCTGGACAATGTGCTGATGAATTAAGTCAAAATCTATGTAACAAAAGCAGGATTCATTCTTTTGGCATGAGGGAAAGTTTCATTTTTGTTTTAAAGCTGTGTATTAGCTGTTACGTTGAAGCGTCTGCATAAATGATCCCTGACTGAGATTTACTCTAAGCAAAATCTCACTCTTTGGACTCTTAAAAATGATGCAGTGTAATGTGTGTCATAGATGTAAAGCCATTTAAGTGACGTTTGTCAAAAAAGGAGCTTAAACTTAATCGATACAGAGCGGAAATTCAGTATCCTCATTCCTTTGCGAGGTCAAGTTGTTCATGCCAATGGACTTTAGGCAGCAGACAGAGCAGAGAATGTTTTTACATGTGATCATCCATCCAGCATGTGTTTCAGGCGCCACACAGATTAAATGAAAGAATCTGAAAATGAAGGTCTTTAACTTTTAATCCTTTTACAAAGACCCTTCAGACTGTCTGAGGACGGAATGGCGTCTCAGAGGGAAAAAAAACAAAACAAAGAAACTGATCCACTCCCTCCGAGGAATACAAATTACCGATTGTCCATTACGATCCAGACTTGACTTCAAAAGTCAAATTAAAATAATATCACCTCAATTAGCGTCACATCAGCGTGGAGGGCTTTATAAATAGTGGCAGGTTTTACTGCATGCGGTGCATTTCAGGCAGATTGCATTTGTACAGTAAAATAAGCAAAAACAGTTCATGCCATTTTTAGTGGTTTTATTTTAAATGCATTTCGACTACATGGACATAAAGAATAAATAGTTTCTTTTTAATTTACATGAGCAGTTATTTTCCATTCCCCTTATATATACAGCACACCAAGACTGTAATCTATATTCTCCCATCTGAGGTGTATAAAGATAAAGTATTTTTTCCGAATAATGGAAAAAGCTTGGAATTCCTTCAATAAACGCATTTTGAATGCGAAATGTTCTTCGACATAAATATGTATAAAGTTACATTACAACCAAAGTTACAGTAGACACTGGATATTATAGGCAAATACTGACCTTTCCTTTTTTTAATAAATGATACAGGCACCAATGATACATTACAGTGTCCATGTTAGACATATTACTATAATTATTTACTAAAATGACTATAATACCAAGCAGCTCCACAAAATAATCACATGTTAAGTACACAAAGTTTCGTCAGTATCACTCAGTACTTCTGTATGAAATTACACAGTAACATGAACACCAATGTAAAGTGTAACCTAAAATGGCACCACATATACATCAAATATACATTCCTACACTGGACAGTGCATGTGAGAATGAGCACGGAGCTTATTTCAGTTCGGGCAGGAGCATTTGCACTCTGATATAATGGGGTACTGAACTTGTATCCAGGCACATTTGAACCCACCCTTTCTCTGCAGGCACCTCCATCGCAAAACCATAAAATGGCTGGATTTGGCAGGTTTGCAAACCATCCCTTCTGGGACCGAACAAGACCTTTTATTGTAGCAGCTGCCCACCTTCACATAGCGGGGCCAGAATCGGTTCCCCAGGTCCTGCCATGTGTGCACCACTGGGCAGAAGGCATAGGACCACAGCCACAGCTGAAGCCTTCTTCTGAGCTTCTTACTGGGCTTGTGTTTTTTCCCATGCTGGATCTCAAACTCCATGGCTTTGATTTCTTTGGGCATGGTGCCGGAGGGACGCTTTAAGAGTTCAGACTCGTTCAGGTCGTCCTGTCCTGCGTATTTGTCCTCTGGTGGGCTGATGGAGATGAAGTTCTGGTCGAAGTGACTGCCTAGTATGGCTCTGAGTTCGGTCTCGTTCAGATCCCGCTCCTTAGGGTCCAGTATGGGATCCGGGTCCTCTATGAGTTCCACTAAAGGCAGAGTGTCACTGGGAATGGGACGAAAGAGGTAGTAATGCTGGCACATCCCTTCTTCTATCCTGAATCCGAGGGAGAAAATGAGCACGTATGTAGCCAGAAAATACGGCACGTTATCCATCTTGTCGGCTGATTAATCCTCGCGCTTAAGTGTTCGCTTGAGTTTTTGGCGAGCCGTGAGTACGCAGTCTCCAGCGCGCGCGGTGTCTCTCCACGAGCGATCTCCTTAGAAAGTGTTCATTCAATTCAAACGGCACTATCCTCGATGCCACTTCGCGCGTAAATGTGATCGGACACCCAAGAACCCTGTGCCAGTGTCTACTTTGTGGTCATTCCGCGCGTCTCGTTCCGCTTTTACGCACAGGTTCCCATCAGCAGAAGGGCTCATGACAGCATCAGGCGTTTTAAGCCGGACCCGGTCTCCTTTTTGAGCTCGCGGGCTGCTCGCGTCTGAATCCGGAGTCCTGGTGTCTGAGGATCCGCATGCTTTCTGGTGACGGGCGCCGAACTGAGAATCACCTGGCTCGTCTGATTTATCCTCGCGGGTCGCGATAGAACCCAAAGACCCATTCTCAATTGTGGGTCTGTTGCCAGAGCTCCACGACACCTCCTTCTATTTAGGGAAGGGAGGGGGTGGGATGGATGGGTGAGGTAGAAGGGGGTCCGGAGGGTTGAATATCGTTGGTCGCCCTCTGCCGGTGCGCGCGCACATGAATTACATGTCAAGAGATGAATGACAGCAGAATCTTTAGGATCTGGGAAAACTAGACTGCAAAGTAAAGTGGACAAATGCATTCATTCATTTATTTATTTTGAAGCAACATTTTAATCATCATTTATTTGACATATAATTGTTCTTATATAAAACGTATAAGAACAAGTATTTAGTACACATATAAAACTAAATCTCATATAAAACCTTAAAAAAACGGTCAGTGACAAATAAAGTAAAAAAGAGAGATATTCTAAAAATCCCATTTAAAACACGTGTCCTTATAAATGTAATCTTTGTAGTAAATTTTATACATTTTTGAAACATATTTATACAGTTTGTTTGTTTGTTTTAAACATTTCAGTTAACCATGAAGTAAAATGCATTAAAATACTTTTCCTTGCACCTAGCTGGAACACATGGGAGTGTATACAACTTAAACTTTTGTATTCAAGATTTATGCTTTTGTCACGTCAACAAATATGATTAAAATATTAAAAATAATTTAAAACAAACTGCTTCACTCCTTATTTTTTAAATAAATGCTAATAAAAGATATCAACATTTCCAATTTTCAGCCTTTAAATTAGACTTTTCCACAGTTACACCACCTTGACATTTTTATGACAGATGCATTCAAGTGATTTTGAAATTGATGCAGACCACAAAAGTTTATTAAAAGATTTATTGAAGTGTTCATTATATGTAGGCCTGATAAAAGTGAGCTGTGTGCTGTTCTGTTTAAATCATTCTCAGTTGATATCAGCTTACTCTGAAACACATTCTGAATAAAATCAGTGGGTGCCACTGTTCACATGAAATGGCTTTTTTGGCTTCTCTTCCAATGACAAGGTTGCATTCAGACATCCTATGATTTTCCTGTGCTCCTCTTTAACGTTTAAATTGACCTTAGAGCAATTTTCTGGATTGCTCTTGTATCAGCGAGTGTCCGGCGCCAGTAGAATGTGAGCTCTTATTTAAAAGAAAGGAAGTGGGCAGAAATTATGTTTTTGAGATAAGCTTGCCAACTGACTGTAGTGACGAAGGAATCTGTGGCCCTTGAAAATGGCCTGTCCTCCAGCTAGAATTACAGAACGCAGGACCGGCACAGTCTACCAGTGAATAGAGACATTTCTGAGAGCCAAATAAAGAGCTATGCTGTTTTCCAGAGTCCTCCATATGAGCATAAAACTGATTAATGCATTTGTGATGAACAGACGTCATACTTAGTATTAAATGTCACTCATAATAAGTGTCTTAACCTGTGAACTGCGGCTCAGTTGATGTATGCTGTTATACTTTTGTGGATTCCTTCGCTCTGTCTTGTAATTTGTACGAATGACTGTTTAACTGTGTTACAATGGTTTCCATGGAAGTGTGTGTTTGGACACATAGCAAGGTGGATTAGGTGCCATATTCAAACAGGCTTCTGTCCGTTTTAGCTGTGAATTGAGAACATTGCGACATTCAGGACCTAATCATCAGATCGTCTCCTTGATAGCAATATTCGCCACAGTTTGAGTTTGTTTCCAATGTACACATACATTCTCATTTCTTTCCCTTAACTTACTGCGAGATCCGCGTGTTTCAAATCATCTGGAGGTATATTTGTCCTTTGATTTTCGTGGAATATCTGGGCAAAGGCCAGTTGCGCCTCCATGACCATCAATGTCTGATCTGACTCTGAAGTTCACTTAATCTTAATGACGGATCAGAAGGCCTCCCAGCTCGAGGTCAAAATATTCCTGATTCTTTCATGACCCAGATAGATAAAAATCGGGGGCCGGAGCCGACACTGGAGCGGACTCGGGGGCCGGAGGCGACACTGGAGCGGACTCGGGTGCTGGAGCCGACACTGGAGCCGACACTGGAGCGGACTCGGGGGCTGGAGCCGACACTGGAGCGGACTCGGGGCTGGAGGCAACACTGGAGCAGACTCAGGGGCTGGTGCCGACACTGGAGCGGACTCAGGGGCTGGAGCTGACACTGGAGCGGAATCAGGGGCTGGAGGCGACACTGGAGCGGACTCAGGGGCTGGAGCTGACACTGGAGTGGACTCAAGTGCTGGGGCCGACAGTCCTTTTCTCCGCATTCTCCTCTTTTGAGCAGAGGTGAAGGAGACAGCTGTTGTCAGCTAAGGGCTTGGGAATGAATTGGCCGGCGGGCTTGACAATGGAGTGGCCGGCGGGCTTGAGAGTGCAGCGGGTGGCGGGCTTGACTGCGGAGCAGACGGCGGGCTTGACGCAGAGCGGATTCTGGATCGGGGCCGGACGCTGTACAGACACCGGAGGATACCTTCCCTCCAGCTCAGTCTGGTGGTGTCTGGAAGGTCCACGGGGGCGATGGTAATTGGCCCCGATCCAGAACAATGAATTAAGCGTGGCGTCATCCAACGCCTTCATCATGAAGAGCCCGCAGAATTCCCGGGCGTATTCTACAAAAGGAAGATCTGGAAGGTCCACGGGGGCGATGGTAATTGGCCCCGATCCAGAACAATGAATTAAGCGCCTTCATCATGAAGAGCCCGCAGAATTCCCGGGCGAATTCTACAAAAGGAAGATCTCGGCGAATCTTGCGGCGGTTTCCATTTCGAAACGGGGAATGGAAAACAAAACACTTTCTAAAAATGGAAACAAAAACGAGGAGAAGGGGCACCGCTTACTGTTGGGTCCAGTCTTCTGTCACGGTTATGCTGCTGTGTAGGAACAAGGAGTGTGTAGACAACGGAGAATTTACAAGGAACAGTCTTTATTAACTCCAACAAAGACTCACAGGTAGGAACACACACGCAGAACGGGGAATTGACGTATAAGGCTGGACGCAGGACTCAGGAAAACACAGGGCTTAAATACAGGAACTAAATGAGGGATTTGACAAGAAACACCTGAAATCAATGGACACAATCAAACACCGGAGAAACTGGGTCATGGGGAGCACATGGGGAGCAAAACACAAGACACGGAACACAGGGGCAGTCCAAGGGTGTAACAATTTATAAAAATATTAAACACATCTATAACAAAAACAATAAAAACATGAACATATTATAGAAATAATTACAAAAAATATTCAGAAAATTAATTTTTCTGTTTTCTGTTTTACTGTCATTTTCTTTGTTTTTAAATCTGTATTCAACCTCTGAAAAACATTTCATAATTGTACAATTTGACTGGCCTGTTTGTTTAAATTGTCAACATTGCAAACTAAGTTAAACATCAATTTATAACAAATAAATATTAAACAAACAAACAAACAAAAAATATATATTATACAAATATAATTAATACAATTACTATAAAGTATTATAACTTAAAAATATTTATAACATGTAATTTTCGGCATTTTAAAATCAGTAAGATTAACCACTGTAAGATTAACCTTTCATAATTATACATTTTGATTAGCCTGTTTAATTATTAACATTGCAAACTAAGGCTCATATCAGTTTATAAAAATATTAAACAAACAGCAAAAAGAATAAAAAATATATTATAAAAATATAATTACGTATATATTTAAGTTAAATATTTGTACAATGTAATTTTCTGTATTTTAAAATCTGTATTCAACCACTGTAAGATTAACCTTTCATAATTATATATCATAAATTGGCCTGTTTGTTTAAATTGTTAACATTGCAAATTAAGATTCACATACATTTATATATAAAAAAAATAAACACATCTAAATAAACAGATTTTACAAATATAATTATTATAATACATAATATAAAGTACATTATAACATTTATAATTATTAAAATATAATAAATATATTTATTCTACAGTGAGCCAAATGCTGAAACCAACCATAATTTAATTCAAAAACAACAACAACAACAACAAATCATTAAAAAAAAATACTCTAATTGGCCTGAAATGAAAGAAATACAAACAACATATCATAAAATATTTACACTGGAATGTTTATTTTTTATGACTTAAATACATCTGTCACAACGTCATTTTCAAGTTGCATCACAAAAAGCAAACAAGTTACATCAGAAACTTCTATGACATGGGACAAACCATCAGAAATACAATACTGAAATATATTATTTGGATCAATAAATGCATAATGCAAAAATATACAGATATTATGCTTTTTAATTGTTTTGGCTTGCATTGTGCACAGTATAAAGGTATCAAGACAAACATACTATATAATTTAACAATAAAACCCTATCTGGAATGCCAGTTGCAAAGAGTTCAATGATTTAACTGGAACAGGTAAGGTGGAATATAATAAATAATGCCTCATGTCTGTGGGCTTGTGTTGAATGCATACTAAACACACCGGTGTGTCAGAACAGTGCATTGTACCAACAGGATCTGGAGCACCAGCTGACATCACTGTACATTAACTGGAAGATGTAACTTTTTTTTTATTTTTTATTTTACAATCCTTCACATTAGAAACTCCAGTTGCAACATATACAGTATATATATTTTGGAAATCAATTAATATTTTGTGCAAATACAATTTTTCTTTCCTTCTTTTTTTTTGTAAAAAACACTACAAACAGTAATAAATTGTTAAAACATTGCAACAGACAAATTCACAATGTTGCTTGCGAAAGCTGCCCTTTTCATTTGGGGGAAAAAATTATTTCACTTAATTACAGGGCGTACATATGGATTATGTGAATAAATATATACTTTATTCACAATCATAATAATCATTGCAAAAATAAATGTGGTATAGTTTTACAGAATTAATGATGCATTACTAAACAAACTACCTTTTTGGTTATGTCTTTAGACCATAACTGGCATTTCATTTCAAATATCTATGGCTTTATTGACAAAATGAGGGCTGTGTTATTGGTAATTATGCAAAAAGAATAATCCACTTCCAAATCACTGAAATATTTATGAATGTGTGTTTATATAAGTGGCACAAATTTGCGGTATAAGCAAACAAGGGTCCTTCCTGTGCAAAAGGTCAAAAGTGGTCAGATTCAAAATAACCAAGCTACCAATCTCTTATTACAGTAAATGTTGTGGGATGCAAATATACTGTATATATTAAAAGTGCCGTTTTTATCATTCCTTCAACCTGTAAAACATAAGTGGTTTTCTTTTCCTTTCATAACAGTGGGTTAACCAGCATAAATAGGAACAGAAACAAACAAATTACCACGAATCTTCAAATGTGAACAATCACACGCCACAAACCACCATCATATGGTAAACATCGCACAACTCAAGGTATTTTTCAATGAAACACATTCTGTGGAACAAATGTCACACACTCTTCCCTTAGAACTACTTACCAGCTTTTTAATTTGAAAGGGGCTCATGTTTGGTAACATAGTTTGTAGTGATGGGATCATCTTTCATTCGTCCAGGGTTTCTGAACACTGAAACTCAAATCTATTAGAAACAGATGTAATGTGAAGTGGATGATGCCACTTCATACATCAATAGTAAGAGCAAACAATTCGGGATGCCACACAGTGGTAAACATGGCCTTGTCCCAACTTTTTTGAGATGTGTTGATGCCATGAAATTTAAAATCAACTTATTTTTCCCTTAAAATGATACATTTTCTCAGTTTAAACATTTGATGTCATCTATGTTGTATTCTGAATAAAATATTGAAATTTGAAACTTCCACATCATTGCATTCTGTTTTTATTCACAATTTGTACAGTGTCCCAACTTTTTTGGAATCGGGTTTGTGTATATATAGTATGTTGTTGCATTGCTACAAAATACAATAATATATCTAAATGAGACCCTGCCTGTGAAAACCCAGCTAAAGTAATTTTTTTTGTGATTTACTGTTTCTACATAAAATCATCCAACAAGATGTAGAACATTCTGTGAAAATATAACATTTGTATCTTTATTATTGACTGAGAAGGCCATGTCAAAGATTGAAATTATAGTGAAATTAATGGTTAAATTAATAAAATTTGTATGCTTGTTATCATAATTACATGCTATCTATCTATCTACCTACCTACCTATCATCTATCTATCTATCTACCTACCTACCTATCTACCTACCTACCTTCCTACCTATCTACCTATCTATCTATCTATCTACCTATCATCTATCTATCTATCTATATTTACTTTTAATCAATGGATTAAAATATTTCAATAAATATACACACTTATTACCTTATATAAAAATGTAATTAATTTAGTTTTACTTCTAATCAGTGGATTAGAATGTTTCTGTTTAGAATGCTTTAGAATGTCACAAAGGTTATTGAGGACTTCAGTCATAAATTGGTTTAAATACTATTGTAGCTTCTAATCAAAAAGCTGTAATATTTAGAGCTGATTTGGGTTTTGTTGACTTCAAAGTCTTTTAGTCTGAAGAAGTTTTTCATCCCCTATGGTGATAATTAATGGGAAAAATACATTCAGAACAAAGGCAGCTGAAAAAGTGGGCGCTCACTGTTGGGCTCTATTGGCTGAGGCGATTTCAAGTTCTGAGGAAAAGCAGTGCTTTGTTTCACGTTGCATTGATAATCAACATTGTAACAGTCAGAGCCATGATTTATGAGTCCCGCAGAGTTGACCAGCAACTTCATCCTCTGCAGAGAGGATGCAAGAATTGATTAGGCTAAGTGTTCACTCATTACAACTGTGAGCTGTAGTAAAGTGTGCAGTTGGAGAGGAAAGGGGCGTTTTGGAGCTTAGAATCAATTTTAGTACTGATAAAACCCCATGTCTACATAATGGAATGCTTATATCATCCTAGAGAGTGCTGCTGAGGATCTCCGACACTTGTTCATTCGTTTGCTCATCCGAATCCATATCCTGAGCTTCTGCTGTAGTGCTGTATCCCGATCCGGCCTCTCTGGCTGTAGCTCCTCTCGATCCCGTCTCCTCCTCCTCCCAATGTGGGACATCTCTGCAGGGTGAAGTCTTGCTGCATGACTCCACAAAGATCCTGCGAACATTGGGCTTAGACTCCCTGTAGGGCGCCCTGTACTCATCCAAACTGTAGGAGGTAGTGGGAGAGTGCGGTAGGGAGAGTGGCGACTCCAGCGGCAAGTCGATATCGCTCTGTCTGGTGTAGATGCCTTCGGATAGTGAAGGAGTGGGACTCTCGCTCTGTACACGCAGCCAGCGGTGCGGCCCGCCAATATAACTCCTCTGGGGATGGCTTTTGGACAGCAGCTTACGTTTCGTTGGTGGATCGGCCAGGAACTTGCAGCGGGATGGCTTGTCTGTGGTCTTCACAGAATAAGAGGACAGCGATAGGTCCTCCATGTCCTTGGTGCATGCTTCGGTTTCCAGGATGGACTTGGAGCAAGCGCTATATTTGAGATCGTGCATCTGAAGAACATCAGGAGCGCTGCCGCTGAGGACGTGCACAGCCTGATGGGAGAGATCCTGGGCTGAGGAGTAAACTAAGTCCAGGTCACGAGGGCTCAAAGCGTCACTGGAGTCGTAGTCACTGTCTGTGGGGAGAAAGACCTCAGAACAGCCCTCTTCATCTGAACCCGGTTGGGAATCTGCAACAGATGGGGATTGAAATAATAAGTCCATTGGAAATAAGCAAAGTGTATTTAGAATTAGACATGCTTCCTTAAAAATAAATTTTTATAATAAAATGATAGTTTTGCCTCTAAAATCTGATTGGATGAACCATGTCCAGAGTCCATTGTGAAACAGCCAATATACATCACTGTTCAAAAGTTTGCGGTCGGTTTGTTTTAAAGTATTTTGCGATCATCAAGGCTACATTTATTTGATCAAAAATACAGTTAAAACAGTAATATTGTGAATTATTATTTCAATTGAAATAACTCTTTTGCTGAATTTTCAGTAGTCATTACTCAAGTCTTCAGTGTCATATGCTAAAGGAACATTTCTTATTATTATCAGTGCTGAAAATAGTTTTGTTATTAATATTTTTGTAGAAACTGTGATACATGTTTTCCAAAGAACAGAATGAATTTGAAACAGTTTACTGTCACTTCACATCAATTTAATGCATCCTTGTTGAATTAAAGTATTAATTTCTTTAAATAGATAGATAGATAGATAGATAGATAGATAGATAGATAGATAGATATAGATAGATAGATAGATAGATTACTTAACTGACCTGAACTTTTGAACAGTAGTGTATATTTATAATATAGAAAATAAAACTGCTGTGAAATCACACATACTGTCAAGCATTATATAAATGTAATAATGTTTTGTTAAATGCATTAAAAGATACTATAAAGTATCTATGGTGTATAGTGAAGAATCATGCATAGGTTCTTTCTGAAAGATCAATGAAAACAGATTTAATTTACTTTATTTTTTACTTCAATTTACAGTATTTAAATTTTAATGCCGCAGGTTGGTTGAACACACATCCTCACACATAATGCAATAATTATAATCCTGGGAAAATTGGCATATAAAAGTTAGAAAATAAAAGTAAAAACAACCAGCAGACAGGCAATATGCATCTTTATTGTACACATTTGACCACATAAGTAATACTATTTAAATTGTCTTAACATCTGTTTTTAATTAATGTTTTTAATTTTCTTAATACATTCAAAATAAATGTAAAGGCGTATTTTATCAGCACTGCATGGTTTTTATTTTTTAAGAATGCACTGAGACACTGGTAAGACTCGGAATCATTAAATCATCAATATTTGGCCTTAAATTTGTCGCCACTTTGTGTTTAAAAAAATAAAATAAGCAGTTTGTGACTTCAAGATTTGTGCAATGCCTTAGACAAATGCAAATCTATCAAATCAAGACATGGTGCAATTGGGTCTTATTAGAACAGACAGTAATGATGACCGAGGTCTGTGAATTATCATAATTTGCCAATCCTTAGTGATATAGATTGAAACCTAAAGAAGCCCAAATTTCCAAGCATCACAGGGCACCAGAACATTACTGAAGTGAGTGTAATCTGTCTTTCATCTATTTCTTGAAAACTAGTGTCTTTTGTTATATTTTTGTTACCACAATTTTATAAACTCTCTACTTTTTGTACACCCTGTAATGCTCTGGCATCTCAAAGCTTTAATTCTGAATGTTTTATCATAACAATAAGTGTGTTGAATTATAATGAAGCCGATGCACTTATTTTTTTCCTGCAGAAACTTTCTTTTGTGCTGTCAACAAATGCCACGTTCTCACTACTGCAAATATAATACAAATTTGAATGCAACACACACATATTTTTATGCCTGGATGAAAGGCAGCTATTGAAAAACAGCATTTACCGATTGTGGACTTTCGTCTCCTCATTTCTGGAGAGGGCGAGGGAGTGGGCACGTAGTCTGTGTTAGAGGACATGGAGTCATTTTTCTGGACAGGAGGCTCCACGCTGACATCTACTAACCAGGTGATAGGCACCCAACCGAGAGGCTGCTTATAGCGGGCGTGCTGCAGGGCATTGGTGATCCAGCGGACGTCTCGCCACATCTCGTCCGATTGCTTCAAACACACAATGGAAAAAAACAGTGAGGCTGTGTGCAGTTATTTCATTGGAAATGCTGAAAATAAGGTTAGCTTGAAAACTAAAGGGTGCTATTTAAATGTTGATTCGATATAAATGCAAATCGCAGCTTTCAGTGTGAGAAACGCAGTATTTCCCCCACACAAACGTCACAAGCGTTTCCCCCACAAACATCACAAAGCTTTTCAAACCATTAAAGCGCATCACACAAAAGCTTCAAAAGGAGGCCACAGAAAACTTGCAGTGAAGTCTGAAGGGGCATGACCGTGACTAATATCATAATTTATTTTGTGTCATCTTCCTCTGTTCACCAATCACAGCACGTCAGAGCTGAATTGTACATATTGCTGCTGTTTAGTGTGCAGAAGCGAAATGAGAAGTAAAATGTGTTTTCAATCAGAGCTGTTAACCTCCATGCAGTGAATCTTCACAACTACCACTTTCATATTTTCCATCCTTGGGACATACTATAGCAATTGTATTTACAAGGAGCTTAGTTCAAATTGAAAGGAAAAAGGCTGTACAAAAATGAAGCAGGGTAGACGAAGAAAAAAAACGCTCTGCAATCTGAGCTCTTTCTAGCAAATGCCATGTGAGATCCAGCTTATGGGAATGAGCCTTGACACCACAGGATGACTCCTTTGGAAAATATGCCGCGCTTCTAACGACAAAGAGGGGACTCCAGTATGACAAGGGCAATAATATGAGTTTCTTTAAGTTGCGAAATAGACTACTTCAACTAATAAATGTTTGGCTGATGCTGCTGGCTGGGAAATATTGCAACAAATTAGGGGAAAATAAGAATAAATAGGCAGTGTGGCTTATATATCATACCCAGTGCTCTAATATAGCAACTCTCAACCCAAAAATGAATCACAGGTCTGTTCTGATATGAACAATAATAGGAAAAATAATGTTTAATGGAAATAATAAAATGGAACTGACCTGCTATTTAGGATAGCAAAATGAATATTCCTGACCATTATTAAAGGAATGAGAAAATGTTTTCCTTTTTATGTGCGTCAAAGGCTGTGGAATCAAACTCAGCGGTATTTTGATGCAAAACATTTGGAGAAAAATATTAAAATATTAGAGATCCAACATTCAGAGGCTGCTTGTCAGCCAAGGTCCATTCCAACCGGGCATGGACTGCATGGAGAAATAATGTTAAATGGAAATAATAAAATGCATCTGACCATGTAATCATGCATATTTAGGACGGCAAAATGACCGTTAAAAGGGATGAGAAAAGGTTTCCCATTTTTATATGCATCAAAGGCTGTGAAATCAAACTCAACACTATTATGACACAAAATATTTGGCAAAAAATATAAGACCGATGCAACACGGACAGGCTGCTTGACAGTCCTTTATCCTCAAGCTATAAAAAAAACAACACAAAGTAGAAGAAAACGTGACTTGTATTACATTAAATTAAATAGGTTCAGTTCCAAGGAGAATAATAATTGGTTTGTGTCAACCATAATTTGTTTTGTGTAGTGAGTTATTGGCTGTCAAAGAAAACAACAATTCAAGAGATATTTCGAAACTAACAGTCAATCTTCCCTCTCAGCCTGTCATGTTAACAATTTTAGTGTTAGATTTAAGGACATTTTTGTCTGTATGATACACAATTTTGGTATCTTGTTAGTTCACCACTTTATGTCCATTGTAAAATCTGGGCCCTGAACTAATACCACTTGAGAACTTCTATAGCCAAAAAGTTGTGCTGTGCAAAAAAACCCTCTGTGAGTAATATCAGATTAACTAGCTTATTTCACTCGCATTATAGCAGCAAACTTGTAAATCTGCCACCTTAAAGCCAAAAAGTTACTACTAAGTAAATCTGAGTGTCATGGAAGCTCCACCTCAATGACACATCTCGCCACATGCATCTGAAACGTGCATTTTGCGGTCTGCCGCTAGCTCTTTAACAGGACCTCACGGCGACACAAACCTGCCCTCTCGCACGAGAGAGGAGCGCAAAGCACTCTCCACCACCATGCCACTCTGACAGACGTGGCTCTTTTCTCGCTGTCACACTCATTGATTGGTATTATTTTTTTCCCTCGTCACTCTTAGGCGCTGTGTAATCTGTGGTCAGAGTGCTGCTTTTTTCCAGCGCCTCTTGGACCTGACATCACACAAACACTCTTGTGGTTTTGTGGTCAATCTCAATTAATCGTCCAGACCGGGGTGGCGGAGAGGGATTATTTCAGACCGGCACACTTAACACACGCCTCTCTTTCAAGTCGAATTGTAAGAAAGTCTGCTGAGCTGTTATTGAAATTTAGACACAAGAAAAACAACTTGTTTTACAGTTTATACGTCTAGTAGTTATGCTTTATGACATCAATAAACTATCCTAACTGGATTATTAGTTTAAATTGTTTTTGAAGTTTGATGTTTCCAACACTCCCAAGCACATGAGAATAAACATGTGATCCTCAGGACTGAAACATGAATGACGTATAGCTAAAAGTTGTAATTGGAACAACACGAATGTGGCTAATAAAAGGGAATGAAGCAGTAAAGCATCATTTCAGATAGTGTACAAACAATTTTAAAATACTAAACAGCAACAAAAAAAAACACTATAGCACTATCCTACACACCTGTTTGTTGCTATACATCACCTCACGCATACGTTCTCATCTATGAAGTAACTGAATGCATTGGCATAAGTCTGAATAACTGAAATTATCACATGCAATACCATTCAAACGTTTGGGATCAGTAAAATCCTGAAAAAATCAGTTTACATAAAAAAATATTAAGTAGCTCAATTGTTTTCAAATTTGATAAATATGCACAGTTTTATTTGAGCACCAAATCAGTATATTAGAATAATTTCTGAAGGATCATGTGACATTGAAGGCTGGAGTAACGGCTGGAGTAAAAATTCAACTTCGCCATTACATGAATAAATTACACTTTAAAATATATTCAAATAGAAACTAGTTATTTTTAATTATAAAAAAATATTTCAAAATATTACTGTTTTTATTGTATAGCTTTGGTGAGCATAAGAGACTTATTTCAAAAACATTAATAAATCTTACCGACACCAAACTTTTGTACAGTAGTTTACTTCTTATTTATTCAAGGTGATTAATCAATAGTTTCCAGTGACTGCAGAATTTGTGAAAGCATATTATTTAGGGTAAATTCCCTGTTGAAGACCAAAAACACTGTTAAGCTTGGCTATAAAGATGCAAAATGCCTGCAGTGCAACAAATTATTTAAATTGGGAAGGAATGGATTTGTTGTGATGGATGCGCAAAGTAGGCTCACACTGACTGATCCAATCACAATGGAGATTCATTTGCAAATTATTCCTGAACTAATATAGCTCGAAGACATAAATCAAGCTGTAGAAAACACAAAATAATACAGATCTTATAAAACAGCTATTTGAGAACTGATGAAGAGCTTAAATTGTAGAAATGAGCAGAAAACGCTACACGTTCAGCTCGGGTATTTAGCTTGAAAAAGTATATTCTTACACGTCACCCAAAAACATATTGCTGTAGAAAAAGCATAAGGTGACAAATTGTTCTTATGTTGTATTATATTTATGAGTTCAGGCCCTTATAAAGTACTTCATCATTTTTGTAAAAAGAAACGGTAAAACGGTAAAAGAAGCTTGTTAAAAATGGTGTTGATGTGTGTGTGTCTGCTTGATTTACTAGAGGTCCTAAGGGAGTGTGACTGGGGGCAGAGGGGGGAGGAATCTGTGGATTTTAATAAGGCCAACTGAGCTAATATTGTAGGGGTTGAAACAGAAGCCAGTGTACCGAGCTCAAACATTTGAAGAGGGAGGTTGAGGAACCCCGAGTGTGGTGTGTAGGGGTTGGTCTGTCCCGGGGCAGAGCAAACGTCGTCTGAGGCGGGCAGCAGCAGAAGAAAGGACACATTGTGACCCAGCTCCAGCACCTCGTGTGTGTAAAGACGGAAGTGCTTGGCCTGTGTGGGACACACAGACACACACACAGACTTTAACTCACGAGGGTCGAAGGGTAACAATGTTATGCCATAACTAAGTAGCGAGCAAAAATTCCAAAACTCAGTAGTATCTATCCATCTGTCTATCCATCCATCTATGTCCATCCATACATCCATTAACCTATCTATCCTTTCTATCTATTCATCCATCCATCTGTCTATCCATCTATCTATTCATTCGTCTTTTTCTGTCCATGCATCTTATCCCCTCTATCCGTCTATCTATCCATCCTTCTTTGTCTACCCATCCATCCATTCATCCATCCATCCATAACATCTGTCCCCTCTAACTACCCATTTATCGATCCCTTCTATCCATCCATCCATCTTTCTATCCATCCATGCTAGGGATGTAATGATTCACTCAACTCATGATTCGATTCACGATTTTGATTTCACCATTCGATTCGATTCACGATTTATTTATTTTTTACAAAATTAGATTTAAGACAAATTATAAATTAAATGTGTCCTTTTATTATTGCTTGGACAAAATGCCGCACATTTCTTTGTGAAATTGAAATATAACTATAATAATATGCTAATATAGCACTTGCATATTATTGCTCTTTTGTTGGTTTTGATTGCTTCTATTGTCCTCATTTGTAAGTCGCTTTGGATAAAAGCGTCCGCTAAATGACAAAATTTAAATATAATGTAAATTTAAATAACAAAACTAAATTGAAATTTTAAAACAAGCCCCAAATCAAATACATAAGTAACACAAATAAAAGAAATCTCTGTGCTCTTTCCATTTAAAATTAGAGGCAACCACTGCATTTTAATCATGATCCAAACAAAGATGCTGCATACATGCAACATAGTCCGTTTTTAATCTAAATTAGATTGTATAATTTTGAAATTTGAAGCAAAAACAGAATGGTTTGACTTCAGTTTTGTGAAACTATACATAAAAATATCTGCATGAAACAGTGGACGAGCTGAATGAGACGCAGATTCACTCTCTGCCAGCAGTTGGCGCTCAAAGCGTTTCCTTGGGTTCCGCTGTAAACAAAGCAGCGCTGCACTTATGAACTTTAATATGCATTATACAGAGGCAAGATGAAAAGAACAAATTATATATAAACTTTTCTAAAGACAGTAAGCTCCCAGTATAAACTCCTACCACTAAATTAATTGTGATTTGTTTAGCATCTCAACCGATTTGAATCGTCACATATTTGAATCGATTTTCAACTGGCTCGCGGTTAATCGTTACATCCCTAATCCATGCTATTCAAACTACCCATCTATCTATCTATCTATCTATCTATCCATCTATACAGATCTCAAAGTATTAAGTAAAATATATTGACAAACTTTATATTTTTTTATGATTGTGGTGCTTTACACAATGATACCACAAACCTGTCCAGTAGACTGCAGTACCTGGTGGAGAGGTAGATTGATCTGGTGCAGCAGACTCTTAATGGTCGTCTGGAGCTCAGAGAAGAGGAGGCAGTCTGTAGCCTGATCTGCTCTTTCCACCTCCACAGGGCCAGACAGTGACTGCAGCCATTCCCACTCATTCCTGGGTGGGAAGAGACAGCATTTAGTCAACATACACACAGCTCTATATTACTGTATCCAGTAGTGTCCTTGACAGAGTGGTTTCCAAAGGCTAGTGGGATGGCATGTCTGATTTTTAGGATAAGGTTTAGTGAGATGCTTGTGGCCAACCACAAAAAACTCTTCCTTTTAATCTGAACATTTTACACCAAGAAAAGTTCTTAAATGTCCAATAATGCTAAAACAGGTGCCTAGGAACGAGACAACGCTTGGGTATTTGTTGCAGAGAGAATTAAAAAAATATATTGCAAAGAGAATTTAAAAAGAATTATTACTCTAATATCTGTGACAAAATATCCATAAATCCAAAGAAAACTAGAATTTTACAGTTAGGTAAAATGATTTAAAATTAATTTAACTTTCTATAAATTTCATAAAAAACTGAGAGGATGAAAAGCATCAGCTCACAGTACGCGGGTAAGATGATGACGGGGGAAAATTAAGTCATTTGGTCTTAGTCTCAAGGACACCCTCAAGGCGGTTGGTGGAAAAAAAGGAGAATTTCTTTGCTCCAGAGGTTTTCCTCGAGCCGTGAGTGGGCATCGTCCTGTGTGAACCTCCCACTGACTTTCACAGTCCGGCCCCATAGTAAATTTTGTTTTACTACCACACAGAGCTGCAGGATAATACTCTCCCTGTCTCTAGCTACCTACCAAGGTCAACACCATGACCCGAGATGAAAATAAATAAATAGCTCCTTTACCGAACAAAAACAAATAGCAGTTTTGTTTTGACTGTAAAAAATGGTGGTGTCAAGAAACTATGTAAGCCTGTGGTGAGGGGGAACCCGACGTGGAGTTCAGGCATATTTCAATCTTCTCAGGTACACTCACTCTGGAGAGCTCGTATTCGCTTCACCAGTAAGAAATACGGTGCTATAAAAGGTTCAAAACTGAACGTTCATATCAATAACATTTATTAAATTGCATAAGAGGTTTTTATGATGAGTCAAGATGTACATATACATTTGCTGGTATTTTGGTAAAAGCAATAAATGAATAAAAAAGGAGAAAATATTTCTATGATTTAATTACAGCCTTTGAATATATGCTTTAATTGTCTGTCTTTGTCTGTAATCTTTATCCAATGGTTTTAAACCTAGGGTCTTTTTTCCTCCATATTTTTGAGATGGAAAAAAAAGAGAAAAGACTTAAAGAGAAAAAATGCTTCTGAGAACTGCAAAATGCAGGATGATTTGAGGAAAACATTTTCCCGCAAGTTTGTGGGCCAAGCTATTGAAGCTTATTACCATGGGATTTAAAAAATAAAAAAGGTAATTGGTCTTTTTATCTCACAGACTTTTTTTCTTGCAAATCTGAAATATAAAGAATTGTGAGATATAAACTCAGAATTCTTCTCTTGCAATTCCTTTTATATTTCAGTTTATATTTAGCAATTCTGACTTTTTTTGAGTTTACATCTCACTTTATTTTTTGTTTGTTTGTTTCTGTCACAAAATTAAAAATACAGAAGTTAATCGACTTTTATCTCACAATTCAGACTTTTTTCTCACAATTATGAGTTATCATTTTGTGATTCTCAGTTTATATCTCGATATTCTTTTTCTCAGAATTGCACAAAAAAAATTCCAACATGACATGAACTCAGGTAAAAAGTGGCAATTACCTTTTTTATATCTTCCATAAGTAGCTCATGACAATAACAACAAAACTGGCAATGTGCATGTGCTCTACACCAGAGGTCCCCACTACCGGGCCGTGGAAGAATTGCTACCGGGTCACAAGAACGTTCTGGGAAAAATGTGTATAGATATGACATTAACATTGCGTGTTAATGATTGTTCTTATTATTCAGTATTTTCGTTGTATGCGATTGATATGGAGTAGCAATTTGACGATTTCATGCTAAATAAGTAAATGAAAGATATTTTCTGCTCTGATCTGTCACGTATTAGAGCCTTATATTAGGGGTTAAACGGATCGATTGACCAATTTACATGTTCAAGCAATTTTAAACCACAAGAATAAGAAACGAAAGAGAGCTTAATTCGATACTAACGCGCTGTTCTCGCACACAATCAAAGCGTGCACAAGCATATAGAGATGTGTTTCAGACAGCGTACATTATATAGGCTATATACAGTGGGTACGGAAAGTATTCAGACCCCCTTAAATTTTTCATATGGCAGAGTGGCCCGACGGAAGCCTCTCCTCAGTGCAAGACGCATGAAAGCCCGCATGGAGGACTCCAAGATGGTGAGAAATAAGATTCTTTGGTCTGATGAGACCAAGATATAACTTTTTGGCCTTAATTCTAAGCGGTATGTGTGGAGAAAACCAGGCACTGCTCATCACCTGTCCCAACAGTGAAGCATGGTGGTGGCGGCATCATGCTGTGGGGGTGTTTTTCAGCTGCAGGGACAGGATGACTGGTTGCAATCGAGGGAAAGATGAATGTGGCCAAGTACAGGGATATCCTGGACGAAAACCTTCTCCAGAGTGCTCAGGACCTCAGACTGGGCCGAAGGTTTATCTTCCAACAAGACAATGACCCTAAGCACACAGCTAAAATAACGAAGGAGTGACAACTCTGTGACTGTTCTTGAATGGCCCAGCCAGAGCCCTGACTTAAACCCAATTGAGCATCTCTGGAGAGACCTAAAAATGGCTGTCCACCAACGTTTACCATCCAACCTGACAGAACTGGAGAGGCTCTGCAAGGAGGAATGGCAGAGGATCCCCAACTCCAGGTGTGAAAAACTTGTTGCATCTTTCCCAAAAAGACTCATGGCTGTATTCGATCAAAAGGGTGCTTCTACTAAATACTGAGCAAAGGGTCTGAATACTTAGGACCATGTGATATTTCAGTTTTTCTTTTTTAATAAATCTGCAAAAATGTCAACAATTCTGTGTTTTTCTGTCAATATGGGGTGCTGTGTGTACATTAATGAGGAAAAAAAATTAACTTAAATGATTTTAGCAAATGGCTGCAATATAACAAAGAGTGAAACATTTAAGGGGGTCTGAATACTTTCCGTACCCACTGTATATTATAGGCTATATATATTAGGATATATCCCACCCCCAAACGCCCCCCAACCCCCCCACTCCAGCCGGTCCGCAAGAAAATTTTTCAAAAGTAACCGGTCCGTGGTGTAAAAAGGGTTGGAGACCCCTGCTCTACACCAAAGTTTAATGAACAAAAAACCTTTCTAACTACTTGACATTTAGTTCAAAATGGCCCGTGACCTAAAATAAGTTGACACCTCTGATATAAAGAGAAAAACACTAATAATATGAAATAGCTGTAGAAGTAAGTGTAAAAATCAATAATGTTGAAGTACACTCTAAGCTGACCTTGACACATTCCAGTTGTCTCGTATCTTGGTGTGGCAGAGCATGTTGGGCATACGTTGAGGAACCAGAACTTTGATCTGATCCACAGAGCTGCTGAGCTTCAGGTAACCCAGATAAAGTCCAGAGGACAGCCGATGCTGACTTCGTCGCTGATAGGCCAGAATGTCCTACAATCAAAATAATAGTTTAAATTACAATCTTTTTTTTCTTTGAATGGTGGATTATTTACTTAATACCACCCTACATCTTATTCCATTCCTTGTAAATTCTATTCTATTCCATCTATTTACCACAACTGTAAATATTTTTTTTTTCTATTTATGTTCATATATATATATATATATATACACACACACATATGTGTATTTTATTCACATATCTTTAATTCTTATTATCTGTGTGTTGTTGTCGTTGTTGTCTCTGTGTACTGGAAGCTTCTGTCACCAGAACAAATTCCTTGACAATAAAGCTCTTTCTGATTCTGATTATTTGAGGTATCATTAATGTCTGCAGACTAAACAGTGCAAGAGTTGACGTTTGAGTCAGGACAGAGCTGTATTTACCTGTATGGTTATGAGGAGGATGTCCAGGGCATATGGTTCCTCAGGAGTGGAAAGAGACTTCCTCTGACTCTGCAGTTTGGATACCTGCATCCACTTCCCATTGAAAAAGGAATAAAGGCTATCCATCTCCCTCACTGTCACAAGCAGGACATTCCCATGACGGTCTTTAATAGGCTCATAATGGACTCGGCCCAAATTGTGAGTGCCCAGAAGATTCTGTTTGGAGAAAGACAGCGAAATAGAGAAGAATTTAAACCTCTGACGCTTTGCATGGTGTCCACTACAAAACAATTGTTATTATTTATTTTGGTTGTGACATTGAAACCACCATGGAACCGATAATAATATATAATATAATAAAGACTGTCCTCTTTATCATATCATTGTGCTTTTGATTTATGACAATAGAAATACAAAATACCTGACAAAAAGGACAAAGCACCCAGTATTTCTCTCAAAGTGTAATTCTCTCAAAATTTGATAATAAAATACATAAATTAATTAAATAATTGTTATATTGTATATGTATTGCATTGAAAAAGAAATATTTTAAATATTTTAATTTAACTTTCAGGGATGCATTATAAAATATGCTCAAACACAAACACAGACACACACTCTGCTCAGAGTCCCACATAAGAGATTATCCCACTCAATTTCAATTTGTACTGAGATCAAATCCCATTATAGTGATAAATTGTTAGCAAGGCTCATCACGGGCTGGCAAACCTGCAGTTGGCCCGCGGCTGCCAGCATCTTCTGTCTGGACTGCAGAGTGGAAGAGGAAGAGGTGGAGACTGCCAGGCTCTGTCTCAGCCACCGGATGTCTTCCCACATACAGGACAGCTGCAAAATAAACACACACGTACACTTATGAAGTTGGAGGAAGTTATTTACCTAATTCCTCGACATCATTCAGTGCCAGAGTGCTTTATCTTCAGTGAGGCGATATCTCTGCTATAAGGTGCTTTAGACGGAAAAGTCCATCATTTTTAAAGAAGAAACCATCTGTGTGCCTGCCTGTTTATGTGACTGTTTAACCTTCAAACTATTTTAAACTTGGAGACAAGGTTCATCAAGTCAATATCAAAATTTGCCTTAACAAACTTTCATTTTTTAGTTGCATATTAGGAGACAAGTTGTAAAATAAACATTTGGATGTGGATATGAGTGCTTAAAATGCAGCAAGGTTCATTCCATGAGTATAACTTTACCTCCAATCTCACCATAAAATCTAGAAGTATTTGGCTATCAAACAAAGAGCTATATTCTGCTAAGACTCTCTCTGCTTCTTGCATCACACCCCTTTAGCCTTGTAATGATGGGCTAATTACAAATGCAAGGCCTAACGTCAAAAGTGTGGTGACTGTTCACTTTGACAGAATATATTTAGGACGCTAAGCTGACCGCAGGCTGCATTTGGAAGAAACCAACAAAAATATTGACGCTTGTCAAAGAGATGTGTAATGAAAACACAGAAAATGTATGTTTCAGTTCAGTGTTAACAAAACGCACGTTACTTTAGTGCAGTTTCTCTCCTGACCTCTCCGCTGCTTAATGTCGCGGTTGACTGTATGTTTTTACATACCTTGGTGAACCACAGAAAGTCCTGCATGAGGGAGCTGCTGTATGAGTCGTCCACCTCCACTATGGGGATCTGATCCTCATTAGTCACTAGCAGACTGTCCTTATGGTAAAATACAGATGCTATATAAACTCCCCTGAAAAAGAAAAAACAGCCAAGAGAACCTATTCAGAACAAGACGAATTCAGCCTTTTCAGCTATAATGTTAATTCTACAATGCTTGGCACTTTCAAAGAATATAGTACAAAATAGGGCCTGAAACTGCTAAAGAGGGGGGTCTTCTTTTTTTTCCCGCAAATATTTAGTGATATGAGTTTTTTAAAGTTAACATAATGTTGACCGTTAAACTCACAGCAAGCAAATAAAATATTACATTTTTATTTTAGATATATTCATTAGCAGAGACAGCAAAGCAACTTAAAAATTAGCAGTACAACAAAGCAATATTATAGTTCAATGTAATAATTATACAGGTTTTATTTTCTATTCATTGTAAAAATGTTTGCAGTTTTTGCAACTCTTGCCATTTCTAAATGGCTAAGACAGAACTGCTTGTGGTTTCAACAAACCCATCGCTTTATCAAAATGTCACCATCCAGTTAGGCTCATCAACCATAACTCCTTCAAAAACAGCTAGAAACCTTGGAGTTGGGATTGATGATAAGCTGAATTTCTCAGACCACATTGCTAAAACTGCCCAGTCCTGCAGATTTGCTTTATACAACATTAGGAAGATCAGGCCCTTTCTTTCAGAACATGCAACACAACTCCTTGCTCAAGCTCTTGTTCTATCCAGGCTGGACTATTACAATGCTCTCTTGGCAGGTCTTCCAGCCACTTCTATCAAACCTCTACAATTAATCCAAAATGCCGCTGCAAGATTAATCTTTAATGAGCCGAAAAGAATGCATGTCACACCTCTGTTCATCAATTTGCATTGGCTACCAGCCCGCTTGCCCGCCCGTGCCCAGGCCGCCGAGTTGTCTCGTCTGGCGCAACACTGGCTGTTGGACGGGGGTCCTACGGCCGCCCACGTAGCGGAACTCGTGGTGATCGATCGACTCCTCAGAGCTCTACCACGGACCCACCGCCAAGCCGTGGGGATGCGGAACCCCGCTACAACCCTGGAGCTCGTGGAGGCAATGGAGCTGGCGGAGTTGCCTCCATTGCCTTTTCCCTGGAGGGTGGCCCAGGAGCAACGCACGCCGGAGGGTATCTCCCGACCAGTAAGCAGGCCGGCGGCTCCCACTCCGCGTGTTCTCCACAACGCCCGGGCAGACCCAGGTGCTCCGGCATGACATCCGGACACCCCCAGGGGTCATTGTTAAGCAACGGCCCTATCGGATCCCGGAAGCTCGTCGGCAGGCTATTGAGACGGAAATCCAGCAGATGTTGAAATTAGGGGTGATTGAACCATCGCGCAGCCCATGGTCCAGCCCAATTGTTCTGGTTCCCAAACCAGACGGCACCCTCCGCTTCTGCAACGACTTCCGACGCCTAAACGAAGTGTCGGAGTTTGACGGGTACCCAATGCCTCGGGTGGACGAGCTCCTAGATCGCCTGGGAAGGGCCCGGTACATCTCCACTCTTGACCTCACGAAGGAATACTGGCAGGTACCCCTCTCCGAAAATGCAAAACCTAAAACGGCTTTCTCTACTCCTAGTGGCCATTGGCAGTACCGGACCCTTCCGTTCGGCCTACATGGGGCCCCAGCCACGTTCCAACGGATGATGGATGTCCTGTTACGGCCGCACCAGCAGTATGCCGCTGCGTACCTGGACGACGTGGTGATCCATTCGGAGCGTTGGGAGGACCACCTACACCGTCTGCGGGGGGTGCTGCTGGAACTACGGAGGGCTGGACTCACCGCCAACCCTCGCAAATGTCACCTAGCGTCCTTCGAGGCGAAGTACCTGGGGTTTCAAGTAGGACGCGGCCTCATCAAGCCCCAGGAAAAAAAAGTCGAGGCAGTGCACGCCGCCCCGAGCCCCAGCACGAAGACCCAGGTACGAGCCTTTCTAGGGTTGGCGGGGTATTATCGCTGTTTCATCCCTAACTTCTCCTCGATAGCCGCCCCTCTGACAGATCTGACCAGGAAGGGGCAGCCAGAGCGAGTGGCCTGGAACGCTGAGGCGGAAGAGGCATTCCAGGGAGTGAAGCGGGCGCTCACGTCCGAGCCGGTCCTGCGCGCCCCGGATTTCGGATGCCCCTTCCTGCTGCAAACGGACGCCTCCGACGTGGGATTGGGAGCGGTCCTGTCTCAAATCCAGGGCGGTGAGGAACATCCCGTCTTATTTATTAGCAGGAAGCTGACCCCGACCTCACCTCAGGACACAGCGCACTCACTTGAGCACATTCCCTGTGAATAAATCCACCCTCCGGGGTATTTATTGGAGCTCTCCTTGTCGCGTGTTCCTTCCACCCTGTTACAATATATACACACACCTTGCTATGTGTACTGCGTTAGGCTAATCAAGACTTGTCATTTGCACTTATATATTGTTGCTCTTTTGTTAGTTTTGACTGCTTTTATTGTCCTCATTTGTAAGTCGCTTTGGATAAAAGCGTCTGCTAAATGACTAAATAAATAAATACATTTAAAAAAAAATAAATGTGGTTAAAAACCCTAGACAGCAATTTAGTCATTTTCTAGCAATAAATATCACATAAACATTCAAATTAAAGACAAAATTGTTTTTTGTCATCTTTTTTTTTTTTTACTGTTCATGTAATATCACAATTAATTATAAACGAATTACAATTATAAATAAAGGCATTATAAATATAGTTGGTTAATTAATAATTAATTCAAAAGATTCTTTAAAAATTATGACATGATTTTAACAAAATTATGACAATTATATGATTTTGATTGCTGGATTCAGTTGAAAAGGTCAAATTCTGCTCAATGCTCAAAAATGCTCAAAACTATTTTCATGCACATATCTAATAGCACAACAATCCAGCAATAACAATTTTTGCCTCTAATGCTGCAATAAATGCTAATGTGACACTAATATGTAATCTTTTTGTGGGAAAGTGCCACCTTGTGTAATATGCTCATACCACCTTTTGAGACTCTTGACAAATTTAGTAGATGAGTGAAAAAGGTGTTTCAGGCTCCGGGACACTGACTGTTTACGACTTGGATTCTGCAACTTTGATGTGTCTGGGGAAAAAAAGGAGTCAAGATGAACAGACAGGTAAAAACAACAAAATATATAGACTTGGTAGATTCCTATGGGAGACTGAAAATAGTGTGAGAGACCTACAATGGAAAAACTGTGTGAAAAATCATCCTATATATCTGCAAGGTACTCTACTGAAAACGGTGGGTTCTTAGATTCATTCTGACTTCCTTAAAATTGACTAGTTGTTTAGAAAACCAAGTGATTTATTGAGTATGAACTTGGTCATCCTCTTGAGATTAACATTTCCGAATTGCTTGAAAACTGTTGTCATCAAAACAAAAAAATCATTGTAAAGAGCAAAACAGACCAAACAACATGCTGAATGAAGGAATAAACGTAGAGCACTTTGAAGACAGACAGGGTGAAAGAGCCTCAGGGTCGTAAGTGAGGGTTCGGGGGAGTCAGGCCACCGACAAACCGGTTATCTGGAACATTTCAGCTGCGTATCTCCCGCTTCAAGCGCAGCCATATCAGCCCAAATTTCAGCGATGCCAATCTTCAGACGTCCCTGTTTTTGTGAAATTAAGCGTCACGTAATTGCCCCCCGTGTAAACAGCAGGGCAGACGGAACAATCCATTTGGCTGAGAAGCTGTTTACAATGTGAAAGTGGCCATCAGAGCGAGCGAGTCACTGTGAGAGCAATCACGCTAACCTAGTCTCCGTGTCTCCACCGGAGGGGCTTGAAAGGGAGGTAGGAAGGCAGATTTTCTGTTTGAAAATCACTATCAAACTCTTCAAGGAATAATGTGTCTTACAAGTCCCTTAAGAAGATTAAACCTTGGCCCCTTTGACCCTACAGTGGCGACTGTTAACAGTACGTGATTAAATGCGCGCACTGATTGTTTCCTGCTTGGCTAGATATTGAAATAACGTAACCTCAAAACCGCAACAGAGAAACTTACTGGAATCTCAAGACAATTACGTCCCTATTGAAAAAAAAAGTCAACTTTGATTACATACGCTGGAATATCACAACCAGACAAGTTTGGATGTCAACCACTATTTTTGTATTACAACAAGTAGGAGTGAGAACATAATTATCCACTTTGGGAACACATTAAATCCGTTTGAACATTTTTATGTGAAGATCAGCGGTAGTTTCCAGTCTCCGCAAACAGAGCCACTGCACGTGTTGATAAGTTGAGTGCAGAATTCGTATTTATTTCTCCCTCAGAAGGTTAACTGGCTTTGACAAGCAGATTATAAGACATGAGTGCATTGGCCTCCTGTGCCACCAAACTGTCACACTAAATAAATAAAGAAATGCCTTTTCATTTATGAAAGCAAAAAGAAGAAAAAAACGGATCGCCTTTGATTAATGACTTGGCAATCCATCTGTCTACCGCAGAGTGAGGGCAACCATAAAATGAGGTGAGTGAGAGTCGGAGAGACGGCGAGTGCTGGTAGCATTCTTCATTCTAACTAATTTAGCGGGGGTCAACGGACCCTTTTCAGCATACGAGAGCGAGCGAGATCATCCATAACGATCGTGGCCAGACTTTCCAGGCCCTCGTTGACAGAAAGCGCTTACATAGCAGCGGCAGAGAGCGGAGGTGTGCGTGTGAGCGATCGCGCTGTTCGTGTGGGTGTTGCTGTGTCTCATGCAGGAACACTGGGAGCTGTGTGCACGACGCACACACACACGCGCACACACACACACACACACACACACCTCGGCTTGAGAGCAACCTCTCAGCTCCACATATACACATCATAAATTAAGATAACCTCTGCTTAAACGAGCTGTATTTTTTTCAGAGTGGTTTTTATAGTGGTGTTATTGTACTGATGCTGATTAATTTAGCAGATTTATTTTCGAACACCGTCGCTCCAAAAATAACTTGGGTAAATACATTGCCCCTGCCAGCATGTGTGCTTATGGGGGACATATAATGCACACATATTGCAAATAAATTTCATAATCATTATTTTTTATATTGTTTTCTAGCAAATATCTCTATAAGTCCTTATAACTAGATTAATATCTTAAGAAATGTATTCTTGCTTGCTTATTCTCTAATTATTTGCATTTCACTTCTGTCCCAGAATGTGTACTATGTCTTTGACAGTGTGGTAAGAAACATAAACAAGATATTGTACTATTTTGTTTCTAAGGATTTTTATTTTTTATTGGAATATTTTAACTGAAATTTTTACTATTCAATATATATTCTCTGAAAACAAGTCGTATTATCTAACACCCACACCAAAAACTCATAAGACCTAAATACTGGTATCGGTATCGGGCCCGATACTGAGCTCCTGTACTCGTACTCATACTCGTTAAAATGCCCCGATACCAAATGCTGATACCACACAGCATGTGATAAGTGCCATATTCAGACAAAGAAACACCGACAACAGACAGCAGAATTGAGTTATTAGAACTTAAAGATGTCTACGAAGTATATGTATGCAATGAATATAAAACATTCAGTATTAATGCCTGTATAGCTGATTTGCCCCAGCTGGAAAGCAAATCACGCTGAGTGGATTGAGCGCGCGGCAGTGCAGATGAGCGAGCTTGTCGAGTGACTATCCCTTTCTCACAGACAGCACTGGAAAGTTTGTAGTTCGGTCGGATATGTCAAAAAGAAGTAAGTAAAACAATGCACACGTTACTTAATGGTAGGGAGGGAGGGAGAGAGAGAGAGCGTGCACTTCTGTTGTGTGATCTTTACTGATGTTCGCTCACTTAGCATGCATCATTTGGATTAAAACTAAATCGTAAATATAAGACAATTTATATGGTCATTCACTATAATCGTCATTTATTTTCACCCTTAAGCATACACGACTTTCTGGCGAAAGTGAAACTAACAGCCTGTGTGAAATGCGCTAGGTTGTACTGTACTTGTCTCATTCTGCACCAGGACAAATACGTGCACGCGTTGCGCATGTTTTGCTTGCTTCATGAGTGTTTCTGCATTATATGAGTGGCTTTGGAAAATAAATCGCTGCACATTTCAGATGAAAAAAACGTGACTTCTATTTAT